CATGTGTAACAGTGGAGGGCTGATACATATTTAATGAGCTAAGGGCCACTAATGTTCATCAGTGGGTCACTGTGGGTCCATTAAATCCGTCACATGGGAAAACAGACCCTAGAAGTAATGGAGTCCTTTTACTTTAATATTCATCTGATCTTCGAAACAAACGGTTATCGAAAAGATACCGACGCAAAAAAAAGACACGGATATTGTTGGCTGGTGAGGGAGGGAGAGGGAGGGAGAGATACTGGATACTTCGAGCGTTGAAACAGTTGTTGAAGAATGAATTGTAAAATCAACAAGACTTCTGGACCTCGTACATTCATGGAATACACAGCGGACACCTTCTTGAATACAGCGATAGGATTGTTTGGTACAAAGTTGTTTCTTTTTTATATGAATCATAACATTTTAAACCCATACCAATACTCCAGTCGCAGACTTCTATTCAGTCTCTACATTCGTATCTTAACCACGATAACACGAACAGGCAGTTTATAAGTTTTAGAAAAAGGAATAAATATTATATACGCCGCTGGGATGTATTTTGACATTTCAGTGTGTACTGCCGTGCGTGGTAGTGTATTAATTCACACATTTGGAAGATTTAAGGGAAAAGAAAACAAAGAAAACACGCGAAATCCTTCTGCGCCACGGCGGCTAATATGGCGTGGAAGCCTGTAATTGATTTGTCCATAAAGCGTGAATATATTACGCAATTTTGCTAAAGAACAAGGTGAGTACTTCATCCGTGTACCGTGTTAATGCTTTACCGTCCCGTTTCCCGGTGCCACACTGTCTGGAGAGCGGCAAATGTCAATGGGCCATACAAAACTTCGTGTGGGACGTGGTGACTTGAATGTTGACTAGCAAGCAGTGCTTTGCCTCTATCAGGCTTCGAGAAGCGGCTGGAAAGAGCAGAAATAGACCCAAATAGAGAGAGATAATATGCCGGGGAGTAGATTTTGCCGTACCCGAAGCCTGTCGGGGGTCGCTAGGATCAAACGGTATAAAAGTTTTCAGGTACGGCAAAATGTACTCTCTAGCGGACCAATTGCAACTCGCGTGGCATGTTAGCTCTCTCTATTTGGCAAATTTCTTCTCTTTCCAGCCGCTTCCCTAAGCCTGGTAGAGGCTAAGCAGCACTAGCTGTTACAAGGATATGTTGCACCCCCCCCCCGCGTAATGATACCAAATGTTAGGCCATAGCAAGTACATGTAATTTTTATGGATGACATCAGTGCGCGCATTGATTTTCGCCTGCCATCATGATGTCATCCATAAAATTTACTTACTGTGGCCTTACCTCCTTTGACATGTTTTGACGGCCAGTGCGACTTTGCTTCGGCACTTATGTCTTTTTCGCGAACCCATTTAGCTACACAACCTTGCTTTTATGGGCAGCGTCTTTTGAAGACTCCGTATCTGATGCGACAGTGAATGGCTGCTGATACAGACCTTATTTTGTTGAAAGATACGACCCACTTGTTTGATAGCAGCACCATTCTGTCCTCTCTCTAATAGGTTCTCCTGAAAAGGTCCTGCTGTTGTTATAGTCAGGACTGAAATACTGTGAAAGACTGGAAATGCAAACATAATGGAAAAACAAGATAGCCCAGATCTTCCCAGCTTTAACACATGTTATGGCCTTTATCACGTGGGGGTAGAATACGTAGTTCTCATCTCAAGAAAACTAGTGATCGTGTCGTCTGTTTTGTTTCCACCCAACAAAAAAGTATCTCTGGTTCATCTTGAAGGACAATTTTTACCTGTGTGGTTCACCCATCAGGAATTGATGTTATCAAATTCGGCAACATTTATGTATTATGGTATAGTCTGTCTTGTGTGCATTCAACAACAAAAAAACAAGTATTTTTAGCATCTCTGGTCATCTTATGGACAATTTTTGCCTGCGTGGTTCACCCACCATGAATTGATGTTATCAAACTGTACAACAATTTATGGTATAGTCTGTCTTGTTTGCATTCAACAAAAAAGTATTCTTAGTATGTATGGTTCCTCTTGAAGGGCAATTTTTACCTGTGTGGTTCACCCATTATGAATTGATGTTATCAAACTGTACAACATTCATGGTATAGTCTGTCTTGTTTGCATTCAACAAAAAAGTATTTTTAGTTGCATGGTTCCTCTTGAAGGACGATTTTCACCTGTGCAGTGCCCCGGCATTAATTGATGTTATCAAACCGGAGAAGAGCAGAGCCGACTCTGTAACGCTATACGGTTTAGCGGTGACGCCACATCCTTCATTTTTATCGAACTCTCTAAAGACTACTGAGGGACTCCTGCGGGGCTTTAATGTCAGATCCCTGCGTGGTGAAATCTGCATGGACGGCACAAACCGCTCTGATTTACCTGCACGCACCCCACGCACATTCACGATTAAATCTCACCGCCAAAGATAAGCTAGTTCATCACTAACGTTTTGGCTGGACCAAATGGATATTAGCTATTCTACTTCTAGCTTTCAATTGTTACCAGCAAAAATATTAGATTTGTGTGTTGTACATAAGGCTCCAGTGGTGGGTAAAGATACAAGTACATGGAATGAAGGACGCAATAGATTATGAAAAAAGAGTCCAGAAAAAACTAAACATGAGCTTCTTGAGTTTATTTGGTTGCTGCATTTGTCTAGATGAGACGTTATACATTACTTGTACCTTAACGCTTGGCCCCGCTAAAACAGTATGTACAGCAGTGTTCTGATATTTGAATTCACTGATCAAATGTCCTTTTTTGTCTAGCCGATATTTTCCAAATATGGCCTGTCTATAGCATTGCGTGACGTCATAAACACGTTATTGTAAATACGTACAAATAGCCTTGCCCATATCTCTTTTTCATAAGAGGTGTACATTCAGCATTGTCGATATAAGAACGAAGATATATATATATATACTTGATCTGTTTGACTGTGTTGACTGAGACATAAAGGCGTCATTGATATACATGATTAAATAGCAGAGCTTAAGCTTGCTGTCAGTCAATCTCTTTGATTTTTGTCATGGCTAGCTATAGATTCATTTTATACAAAGTCTTTTTGGTCCTGAAATTAGCCTGGATACCAGCCTTGCCCAGGCTAGCTCTCCATTCTTCTCTGTTGTACAATAAAGTGTCGGATGAACAACTTGTGAACAAGCAAGGCCTGCACATGGCTGGCATACAGGCTATTTGGCATACATACATATACAAAAACGGTTCGTAGCAAGCCCTAAGCCACAGAGTCAAAATTTCTGCCCATGCTACTTCACAGAGAATACAATGCTGCAAATCCTTAGCCTGGTTGCCAGACCTATTATAGCTCCCGAGTCCTACATTCTATTTGCAGAGAGGATGTAGGACTCGGGAGCTATAATACTCGGGTCTGGCAACCAGGCTAGCAAATTCTGAAACCATTATTGTCTTCCAACCTGGCTCCATGCTGTTTTCTTCCAAAAGGCTTTGCTGTGGTGTTAGGCCAGACTAACGTGATTCCATGGATGACACCCACACGGGTATTGATTCTGGCTCATCCCTCAATAACCGTAAAATCCGGATCCTTTCGTCAGGCGAGAAATTTACATTTTTTGTACTCATTATTCTGGTTCACACTTCTGTTACAAAGTTCTGTTAAATCTATGAAATTCACGTAATATCAGAATAATGTAGATATGTATAAGTGTGAGGACAAACGCCGTACAACATTCAATCGCAGAAATAATCGAGAATAATTTGTTTCCCACCTCTATTTCGCACTCTCGCATCGCATGTTTGACTTCCATAGGGTGTCATACATCAAATCATGATAACGTGGCCTTATCAGAAAGAATATTAACTGTCCGTTGCTGTTTCAATCAGTTGATATTGTAAAGATTCAATCTTTTACTAGCATTGAGTAAAGCCCAAAGGCAAGCGATTAGAGTCAGAGAGCTTTGGTTACAATGTCACTCGTACACACTGTTGGTATTATTGGCATCACCGTGTATGGCATTTACAGATATATGTAGTTAAAGTTAATGCACCGTTTCAATGAATTAGCACATAAGATTTCATGTTGCTCTTATCTTAATAGAGAGGGCCGCGCCTGTTTGAACTGTGCGGCAGATAACGGCACTGCCGGGCGCCATGGAGCTATATTACAATCCGCCAGAGTCGGGAAAATCCGATATGCAAGCACTGACGACTCACCCGATACACATCGGGCGGTATTCTTAGGTTCAGCGTCAAGAACTGGTGATTAAGAGGGCGATCTAGTTTGGAGATACACGGAATACAAGTCGAAAAGAACGCTTGTTTGTAAGTGACTTACTATTAATATTGACACTTCCAAACTGTGAGTAGGCAAGATAAATTATATCAAAACTCCAGCAAGTTTATACAGCAATCTTATCTATCTACGTGAATAAAAAGAATTTTTACTACAGGCAAAGTATGAAGGAGGAATAGAGTTTGTATTGTATTTACGTGCAGGGACCATTTGATGACAGGAGTGTAACCCGTTATGGTACGTTAGGCGCTATACATTGTGTATATCATATTACCAAAAGAGATGCATGCCGAATGATGGGTGTGTGTTGTATGCAGGACTGAGCCGTGATATCCAGAACCGTACCTAGGGCAAAACTACGTTCTTGGATACACGGAGACTATCCAGAACCGTGCCTGGCTCTACCTAGTCCTAACCCATTCAAACTTAAAGAACTAGACAGACACGGTTCTGGATGCGGTAGTTGTGATGTTGTCCTCCGTTTACAAACTCTCGGCCTGTGTCTCGTTCAGCACGTTCTCGGCCTCGTGTTGGTTGCGGTGGGCCCTGTCTCCCGCCCGTCTGTTCCACCGTCTCTTCTTGTCCCTGGGAGGCGGCGGGGGCTGCTCCATCTGAACCTGCACACACAAGAAGGAATCCTTTATACGCCTACCAGCGCTCAGTCCTTTTTGGCAAGCTTTCAAGCATTCTTAGACACATTATTAATTTAAACACCCTTTCTGACAATGCAAAACAACTTCGCGGTAGTTTGCTCTATTCCTATGGCATTAACTGTAAAATTATGTTAGCCACACAAAACGCCTTTAGCTGTATGTGTTCTGCTTTGCTTTCTTTCCTTCTGGGATGGGAGGTTTGACTCATGCTAGGTCTCTTATGTGATCATACATGTGCCTAGAGGCTAGGTACCAGGCTTCGGGAGGCGGCTGGAAAGAGTAGAAATTGGCCAAATAGAGAGATACATGTAACATGCCAAGGGGCCAACTCCCACGGCATCTGATCTCCCTATTTGGCTAATTTTACTATTTCCAGCCGCCTCCCGAAGCCTGGTAGAGACTAAGGTAACGACACGGTACAGTACCATGACGGTGGTCCCGTCGGTGGAGCCCTCCCGGCTGCTGTCCTCCTCCCGGATGTCCTCTCCCTCCGGCCGGTGCCGCTCCACGGTGGAGTACGGCGGCAGGGTGTTGGAGTGGGAGTGCGCCAGGCCTGGAACACAAACACTGCCTTACTGGGTGGACAGACTACTCTTTTATTGCAGCTAAGGGCTGAATTGTGAAGAGCTTACCGTCTGTAAAGCTGAATTGCAGGGGCCTTGAGTGGCTGCCATTCGGCGCTAACTCAGGTGACACCAGTTTCTGCCATCCTGTGATCTAAGTTTTGTAAGGTTTGAACCACACACCCCTGGAAGGACCCCCTAGAACTGTGGGTGAAACACCTTAATAAGTACGCCACATGACGCCACACTGTCAAAGTTCTATGGGCCAAGACTTGGGAATTAGGTGCCTTTGTAGGTTATATCGAAGTATAGGGGTTTTGGTATAAGGAAATACCGGTAGTACGCAGACATCATCATCATAAAAAGACTTCATAGCACGAAATGTTCTATGACTGTGATAGACTTTTTCGTAGCTACATAAAACTAAAGCAAAGTTTTCCATATTTCCATATCTGTCAGTCACGACTCACGTGGATAGGACAGGCCAATAGCAGTCCAGTCTTTCCCCATCCTGGGCGGTGGGCGTGGCTTCAGCGTGCCGTCCAGCTCCTGTAGCTCCAGGTCCTCCACCCCGGAGTCGTTCGTGCCGTGGCCGGGTTTCCGGGCGTATTTCGGCAGGGGCGGCACGGGCTTGGACGGAGTCAGGCTAGGCGTCTCTGTGAGAAAAGTTGGTTTTTAGAAGATTTGAGATTTTTGCTCAGAGTTTAAAAAAAAACTGTCAAAACTCTAAAATCCTATATGTATTCTTCATGTTTGACTAGTTGTAGACTAACAATCTTGTTGTAAACTAAAAATAGATTTGTCGCGCATTACAATTCGCACATATTGTACAGTACTCTGCATTTCAACCCTTGGGCTACGACGTTGTATTTTACTTTAAAGTGTGTGATAAAATAAACTAGTTTTTTTAGTAAGGACCCAATTTAAAAACAGCACTAATTATTTGTATATTTAACGCCTTTTCCTTGCAAGTTACCTGCTGACAGTAGCTGATAATTGCTGTAATTCACTAACGAACTGTAATTGGGTTGGAGAAATTAAGGCTGAAGTGCGTTATTTTGTAGTGAACATCACGCCCGTCCATTCTGACTCATCCTTGTGAATTTTATATATGCTCCTGGCTTCCTGACGATCGGTCACCTTGAAAATCTTGTAGATCGAGTTAGTGAGACGTTGAATCGCATGTGATGAAATTATCCGCTCTGTTCATTACGTACAGCTACAGAGAATGTCAAGAGGGCGACTCTTCCATTTCACATGACCCAGTACCTCGGTAAATACTGCATGAAGATCGATTGATTACAACAGAACAAAATGGGACAGGAGGTGTCGCCTTGTACAACACGCGCCAAGATGATTTCTACTCCTATCTTTTTAAAATTCTTCTCTCTTAAAACTTAAGCTATGGATATAACGTAATGCTATTGTTCTTATAATCAAATCTGCTTTAAAGACATGATAAAATTGATAATTGTGAGTCATTAGCTGCATGTTTCATTCTTGAAGTAGTGTTTTTAAGTTAAAAAAACGCCGGATTCGCATTGCGAATTAGGGCCCAGTTACATATATCGGGTGATCGTTGTATGATATTGCAAACTAAGGGCATTCTTGGGATAGTCGTATTTGTGTCCGGTAAAATACCGTCTTGTCGTGGAAAATCTTGCATTAGATCCTTGATGGTGGTTAATTCTGTTACAGCTAGCTAGCTTGAAAATTCTGCAGAATCAAAATAGGACGACCTACAACCTACAACGACGCATGTGACCGCGCCGTTAGTACTGAGAAGATTAGGGAATGTCACGTTCAGCACCAAGGACAGAACCCAGCCACCCCCACCCCCTCACCGTGTCTCTTCCGCCGGCATATCCACTCCTTCCGCTTGGCGATGAACAGCACGACAACAGACACCACAGCCAGCACCACCATCACCATGGAGACCGAGATGATGATGGCGATGGACGTCTGCGTTCCTGAGCAGGGGTGAAAGGTCACCAGCAGTATTAGATAAAGACAGTTCTTTGATACAGTCTGGCTCCTAGTAAAATCCAATTCACAGCGGGGCTCACCCGTGTTTAACGGCATTGTATCCAATCTCGTTTGCTCGCTGATAGACGATTTTAGAGCTCTGATGTGAACTAATAGCATGTTTTACCTGACTTTGATATTGAATTACGACAAATCTTTTATCAAATGACGTGGCAACTTTCGACCCTGTCTACGGGGAAAAGAAAGCCCTAACACAATCTTATGCGAACCATGCAGTGGTCTGTAACAACGTAGAAGAATCAGTGTACAGTAAATGTACGTGTATAGACTGAGGAGTCTGTTAATAAAATCAATGAGTCTGAGTTTAGGAACTAAATCAAAGGAAGTATAATAAAGTGAGTATCTACCTTTAACCATGAGTCTAACTTCTCTCTGGTCCTTGCCAAACATGTTGGATGCTTTACAGATATAAACCCCTTCGTCGTCCGTGGTGGCGTGGTCTATAGTCAGCACGGAGGACGTCCCCTCGTTGGTCTGTTTCTTACTGATGGTGATGCCGTTATACGTCGTCACCATGACGTTCTCTACGCCGTTCGTCTTCCGCCAGATCCACGTGACGTCACCAGGGGTGGGGTCCGCCATGACGTCACAGAAGAATCTGGCGGTGTCTCCGTCAGCGATGGACAGCAGGGACGGGCCGTCCTTAATCTGAGGTTTGCCTGGAGTTGAACGGCATAATGAGTGTTCGCCTTGCATGCGGTAGGTCGTGAGTTCGATCCCCGACCGAGTCATACCAAAGACTTTGAAAATAGTACACACTGCTTTTTTTGCTCAGCATTCAGTAGTTTCGAAAGATTTGCCAGGGGACTACCCCCCCCCCCCGTTGTGAGACACGTTTGTTGTAGAAAGGAAAGTTACAATCAACAATAGTATTTTGGCGCTACCGCAACTTTTTTTTAAATCACACAACACACGCTACTGTTTCTAAAATCACAAATAGGTTTTCAAATTGCTTGTATTCAGTTCATTTGGGTACTGAGCACCACACATGCAGCAACTAATGATTAGTTCCTTACACTCGCCAATGTGTATAACTGGCCCGCACGGAATTATTTTTTTCTTGGACGACTGTTGAGAATTCATCAATCTTACATGCACTAAACCCTGGAGTATTCATCACATCGTCTAATTATCGTTCATGACAAATAACGGATGAACAGATAACTGCTGTTTCAACAGATGGATAAACAAGTGGTTCAGAAACTTTCATTAAATTTAAATAAATGATGCAAAACCGCGCGTACCATCGACTTGAGATTGCAAATCGATGCTGAGAAAATACAGTGGATTTTAAAATGACGGAGTGGCAGGATAACACGTTAACTCTCTTCCCTTGTTCCAGAGACACGTCTCTGCGCTCATTATAGATTCCAGTCCCAGAGGAAGGTTAGGCCATGTTGATTTGATTATATGGATGACATCCTCTGGGAACCCCAGAACTGATGCGCGCGTGCGAATAAAAAAAAAGTTTTGCAAAAAAAAAAAAGTTGCTTTCATTATGAAATCTACGTGGTTATGAAAGTTGAACAAATGACATAGAATATGGTATAGCGAATAATCTACTCTTCAAATTCATTTCTTGACACTTTTGTCTTTTTTCGTTTGATTTTGGCAATCTACGACCTTGGTATCATTGTTAATAATTTTTTGGGCAACTTACGGTATATTTTTGCTCATTTTGCAACTGTTTGGTACGATTTACAGTATGGTTGAAAACTTTTCTTTTTTTTGGAAACGGCCGAAAATTCATGCGCGCGCGGATGTCATCCATATAATCAAATCAACATGGCCTTACTGGGACCCTCCCAGCACGATTACTGCCAATTACATGTCTTACAAGTCCCCATCAGCTCACACCAGCCGCTCCCTGCTGTACTGTGCGGATTGGAGGACATATGGGCTGAGCACCTAACGTGAAATTGGGGATTTTTCATTGATATCCTATAGGAAAAAAAACAGGACTCGTAAAGCTCCTCGATTCCTTCTGACTTATTTCGTCAAGCCCAGTCATGTGAGCATATTTCATTTGTCTTCCTCTTGTGCAAAGCCAGTCGCGGTTAAAGTGTTCTGAAGCGTAAAATATTCCATTTCTACAAGCGCTGCTAAACTTGCGGTGGATGCAAGGATATAAATGTGCAGCCATTAAATTCTTTTATCAGGACTGTTTAATGCTTTCTAAGTGATTTTACTCATTGTTACGATGTTCCTCAAGTCATGTGAAAAATGTGTTTGTGTGTCTTACAACGCAATACTAACTGCCGATCTAATGAATCCTCTCATTTCTACACATGTACATCTCAATAGCCCTGACCATGAAAACATAACTACGACATCCCTAATGCCGGTTTGTAGAGTCGGCAGAACGTACTGCACCAACGCGAAAACCGCAAAGTATTGTGCACATGTGCATAGCACTTTAGCAGAACGTCTCATATAAGGTCGTATTCGGGTATATAACATCAAAATCCCGTCTCACGGTAGTTTTCAAATGTTATGTCGGAAAAGGTACCATCTACAACAGGCAAAATTCTGATGCAACGTTGACCAAAAATCCAACAAAAACCGTGAAAAATCACTGTTTCGCGAAGAAGCAGTACGTTCTGCTGACGTGCTGGTTTGTAGTTACCTACGACGTCCAAGAATACATCACTGGTAGCCTGTGGGAATCCGTCGCTGGTGGCCACACACTCGTACGTCCCCTCCACGTCGTAGCGCACCCGGTGGAACCGCAGAGGGTTGTCCCAGTACAGGCTCGTCCCCTTCCGCCGCCAGCGGACGTGAGGCTTCGGGTTGCCCTCCGCCAGACACCCGAGGGAGAAGTCGTTCTTGGTGTGCAGGACCGTCACCTTTGAGTCTAACGTGTTTGTGATGGACGGCGGGTCTGTACAACCGAGAGGGAACACCAAAGAGATACATACGAGATAGATGGAGGGGGAGGGAGATGATCCAATAGATAATATATTGAACCAATATATAGATCGACTGCTCTTATTAAGTATACGTTGTCACAGTCAGTAAATTTAAACGTAGATTTGTTCCATAATTCGAGAACTAGCACTCACTCTGAATCACTTGGTGAATTTTTGAAAATTTTGAAATATCTTCGGCATTTAACACAACTGCTGTACAGTCAGAACTAGTTACATGTATTGATTGTAGCGCAAGGCATAAAATTCCCCATGGCTCGACAGCGATCTGTTTAAAGACCATTTTTATCATGTACAAATTGTACTGAAAGATTGTTTACGATATGAAGGCGCCCGGAAGTCAGACAAATGAGACTGGAGGCCTCTGAGTGCCACGTCAAACAACTAGACTGTACTTTCCTCGTCAATATCACCACGAGACAGCACTTAGGCCTGACGTTTTTATTTTAGCTTGTGTAGAAATGTTTTTTATCATGTGTTGCAGTCAATTTTTGTAATATCAATTCATCAATTCAGCCTTTGGGCTGCGACTGTTGTGATATAGGTGATTTACGTCATAACAAACCATTCTACGTTTGTACGTTGATGAAGGTTAGACATCCAGGTAAACGATACTCGTAAGAAAATTCAAACTCTACTACTGGATCAGTTACGGATTTTTTTATTTATTTGAGAGTATATAAGAGTGAATCGGTTCTCTGTTCATTTGTGACGCTGAAGAAGAGTGATGGATGTCACTCGAAACGTCCGGAAATAAATAAAAAATCCGTAACTGATCCAGTAGTAGAGTTTGAATTTTCTTACGAGCATTCTACGTTTGCTTGTGGGGGAGGGAAAATATTCCGATTTAGTATAGCTATATAGCAATACAGCTATTGGTAATTCGAATAAAGTTCCAAAGTTTCAACCACTCACAGAAGACCTCCAGAGTGACCGTTCCGAGTCCGTCGGGAAGGATCCTGTTCTTAGCCTCACACTGGTACACTCCGCGGTCCTGTCTGGACACCTGCTGCAGGTTCAGAGTCTTCTCTCTGTCGTGGGGAACAAAGACGTCAGGAACAAGACATGCATGTACATCGGAGGATTCAGACTTCCAAGACGTGTTTAAGGTTTTCGTAAATGTTTTGGAGTGAGTGAGTGAGCGAGTGAGTGAGTCAGTCAGTGGGTGATTTTGTCAGTGAAGCTTGATCATGCAAAGCTGTTGGTATCACTTTTTTCTGGTGGATTTCTCTGTATTGTACGTTATAAACAGTTTATAAAGATATAAAGATATGTATAATTAATGTCATTAAAAGACACCCTTCAAACCCTACGCACATCAGGAACGTCTGTGGCTAGGTATATGAAACAGGAGTAAGAAGAGCAAGAAAAGTAGAAAAGTAGCTCACATCTGGCGACTCTTGGGCGGCAGGATGTCCCCGAGCCTCCGCCACTTGACGGTGGCCCTGGGGTTGGCGTCCACGTAACAGGTCAGGTTGACGGTCTGGCCCTCACGCACGTGCACGGAGGGGGACGGCACCGACACGATGGGCGGGTCTGGGACGGGAATACACAACACCCGGGACTGTTATATTAATATGAATCTTAAATATGAATCTTTAATTGCATGTTCATGCCCATGGACATCATACTGAGTAACATGATACCTGTACAAGGATAACAGAATAACGTAAAAGTCTTAACAACTACTAGAGAATAAACTAACCTAGGCCTTGAAGATTTCTTCTCTCTTTATACTTTTCTTCTCTCTTTATCAATATATATGTCTGAAATATCTCAATCCAGGTGCAGAACCTCTAGGTTTAGGAATATACCATGCCTTTCCTTGTCGAGCTATTGAATGGCTAGCCTCGTCTGCTCTTCTGAATATAGAAGAGCAGTGGTAACTATTTGTAGATAACATATCTTTTAATTGTCAATTATGCCTCAATTCAGCGATCGTAGCTGCAATGGCATATTATTATCTATTGTGTGATTTTTATCATTGAAAATCACACAACAGATATGTACTGTAGTTGCTATGTCATTTTTGTATGAGATGTGGAGTCAACGTAATTCCGGAGTATTTCTGCCAAGTTGACTGATATGAATAATGTTTGGAAGTTTGAAGTGATAACAACTCACAGTTGACTCTCAGTATCCGTGACGTCCCCGTAGGTTTGACCAGATGCGGGAAGCCCTGATCAGCGATGCAGGTGAAGTTAGCGCCGTTGTCCCACTTGGACACGCGCGGAGAGAACAGCTCCAGTGACTGCTGACCGTCTTCCGTGTCCTCGGCGGCTTTAGTCGAGCCGAACTCCCGGGTGCCGTTGTACCAGACCAGGCGGGGCGGGGGGTGGCCACCCCGGGACCGGCACCGCAGCACGAGCTGGTGTCCTGCCGTTAGAGGGAGCTCCGCTCCTATAATCTCCGGAGGCCCCGCCATTGGCACTTCGGGTGTAAAATAACATTGACGATGACAATGAACTTATTGCATATTAACGCCCTTCATGGGCCAAATACACCAAGTTAGATAACTCTTCTCTCTTTTTGAAACAAGCATGAAAAATTTACATAGTTTTTCATTTACATCGTAGTTCCTGCATAATCTCTTTTCTCGATTCTCTTATCGGTACGTGCGTATATTTCTGTGTTATCACTTTATAATATAACTTAGTATCCATACTAAAACCAACTTGGTCACTATTGGAGTTGAATGAACATTGGTGAAAGCAACCTGTTGCTCTCTATAGTTATTTGGAACATACTGATTGTGTTGTAATGTAAAAAGGATGAACTATTTGATTTCAGGAATAATAACGTTATCATGGCTATAATTGTGTTATTAATAGGATCTTCTCCATTAATAGAATCAGATATCTTTGACTCAACGTCCACGTGACAAGCCTCACTGGGTCAGTCTACTGAGGAAGACTGAGTGACTGGTCAAAGTTCTAGTTGAGAGAACTTTATTGTGTTGGATCCAAAGTTTTAACTTTAATCATGTAACTACAAACACAGACGAACTTTCATGATAGCATGAATAGAATCTATTGCTGTAGTGTTTATGCCATCCTGTATTTAATACGTACCGACTACTGTTAGAACCGCCTCCTCCGCAGTAGGAACCGAGGCTGTGGAACACTTGTACTTTCCGCTATCCTCCAGCTTCAGCCGGGAGATCTGCAGGTTGTACTCTCCGTTAGAGCTGTCCCCGACAATCCGGTGCCGCTGTCGGTAGGACTGGAACACGGCGTGTCCGGTGGAGATGACCACGTCGTTTGGTGGCCCCTGCCACACCACGGTGTCCCCGCTACTCAGCCCGCTGAACGCACACCGGAGGTTGACGGTCTGTCCGCTCAGGACTGCAGTAGACTCAGGCCGCCTCTTGTACGAAGCCGCATCGGCTGCAGGGAATACAAACATTGTTCTTTTTCTTATTTGTCAAAATGTATATAAATTTACTTATGGGTACAGAAGTATTGTTTTGGGTGGCTGAGCTGTGGGTCTGTGTGTATGTGTAACATCATCAACCTGTAATTAGTATATACGTTTGTCCGGACAGAGTAAGCTGACAGCACATGGGTGAGGAAGATTGACAGATAGAATAGCAGGAGGTCAAAAGCTCAGACACAGGACACGGGCCGAAAGTATCAGAATCTGACCGGGAGCCAGTAGGAATTACTGACAAGGGGAATTCAGGACGCCAAGGATTGCATACTTCCCGATAGTCTGAAATCTCTGATTTATATTGTTGCTTTGCAGCATGAAAAACTCCATACAATGGCATATATGTGGTTTTATGTCCCAAGCTAAACCATACAAAAGTTGATAAATTCTATCCTAAGTAGTACATAATTTATTCTCTTTGGCAAAACGCATATTTCTTTTGTGTACTGGTACGCGGCGAATAACACACACAATGGTATATGCAGTTTTATGGCCTGAGACAGAACTTGATATATCCTATCCTAAACAGTTATACCAACGGTAATCGACGGCAATAAGTTAGACTATACATCACGCGTTCATGCAAGATGCATGGGGACCATATGCGACCCTGCCCAATACAGCCAATATTTCCCAAACCGCCAATTCTTTTCAACCCTTTTACGCACTTATTGAAACTGAAAGGCACGGTGGAAGGCGGACCTGTGTCAGAGCCGGTTATGTGAAATATTTTCCAGATGTTGAATACATGGAATAATAAACGCTTTCCGACCGAACCACGCGTCCCTCCCGTTGGGGTAATGGGTACTCTTTTATTCCATTAGCCAGGATCGATACCTCACTGCTGTTTACCGCCAATAAACGTATTAAAAGCTTGCTGAAAGAGCCGGGCAAAGGAGAGAGCTGAGTTCAAAGAGGCCCCTATTTCGCCGGGCGTCTTTCAGCCTCGCCGCAGCGGCAGCCGCCAGGGACGGCTCATTATATCCCGTGGGGCCCAATTTAGCTCCGCCAACACCCCCGCCGACCTCTCATTTCCAAACGGTCCCACGGGGCAGGTCTTTCCTGTGGTCGGGGTCAATCGGAGACAGAGTAGGTAAGAGTATCCAGGCATTACAATAAGCTTTTCTCCACTCTTTTAAATTCAATCTAAATCTCGTGTGGCGTGCACAGTAAATACTCTCAGCGCCGGGCCAAAGGCTATCAGAGAATAATGCATACATCGTGCGTATTTCCATTTTTATAGCCTTACATGGTGACTCTAGAAGCTAGAGAGTTACAATAGCATATACAAGCCCACTCAAGGCCATGCAGTAGTGCTCCATGTTTTGTTTGGCTCCGGTGGCATGCATCCTATTAGCATTTCTTTCCTCTCACTTTTAAAAGTTGTGGGCGCCTTGCCTCCGGAACTTGAATACATTTTCCGCGTGTATTGTAAGCACGCATTCCGGCCCATCCATCTCCATTAGAAGCGAACAGTCTTACCGTCTTCTCACAGGTCGGTGAGCTGGACCTCATAATTGACAAGAATAATGCAATTTTACATCTTTTGCGGGAGGGGCGTAACAACAGAAGTGAGTGCGCGGTCGCGGGGAGAGATGAAGTAATGGTTATCGATTTCCGCGGGAAGGTCGACTGGGAGCAGGAAATCTTCAATCGTCTGCATCTACCGCAAGGAATTACCCCAAATCCCTCTTCGGCGGGCAGATTTAGATTCCATTAATGGTTGCCGCGGTCTGAAATACGAATGATGTTCAGGACGGGGAGGTCAAGAGGCATAAAGAGAGTGGAGGAGGAGATGGAAATGCGTGATGACGGGATCAATGCTAGATGGAGTTTTATAAACGCGCAGTTGGCAGACCGGACCAAATTATCGTCCACGCCTTCCAGAAAACTAGGCCAATTTTGCAGTACCGCACCAGACGGCAGCGAATTAAGACCGTTAGCAGTGCGGTGGGAAATATATGCACGGCTGCCAGTTTGAAACAGAAAGGCCATCTATTCCTCCAAGTAGTGCGTGTTAATATACTGACTTGATCTGATGGTTGGCGGCGAAGATAGCGGCTGCAAAATTTCTTGTCGCAGCAGTTTTGAAAGAGATAAATGGTGTTGTCATAATTCGTGGCAGGGTCAGCGAGAATTGATTACGGTGGTGAAGTTTTCGCCGACCTTATCGCACGACTTTCAATCAGCGGAGGGACTAATGCCGGTGTACGTAACGGTAATGACGGTACGCGGGGTAAATCACACGTCTGGGAGCGCGCCAACAAAGCCGGAGAGACAGAACGGGAGAAAAACACGCAGAGGAAACGAGAGAAGAAGCGTAGGAAACAATCCCTTAAAGATGAAAAGTTGTGAAAATAGAATATTGGTAGGTTGCATGCAAAAGTCAAACTAAAAAAAATGACGGTAAACAAATAGATGATAAGGTATGTCAACGTGATTGACTCTAGACGTCAAGATAAGATTTAATTAATTGTTCGGGTCTAATTCGCTCCGCAGGCACGACAAGACAGAGTCACATGCTGATTTAGCTACAGAGGAAGGAATTCAGATGTCAGAACTTCAGCACATCAGCAGGGTGACGGTGACAGTTGTCGTCCCCCCGCCCGTGACGGGCCGGCCCGCCCGGGGTGCACGGTGAGACATCCGTCACGTCCCCGTACCTGTCCCACCAGGACCACGGCTCTCTGCACCGGGCACCCGCGGGGGACTAAACCCACTTCCTGTTTGCAGGATTTGTACGTGTCTACGGATCACATTCATCAAGCATGGGGGATCGAATACCGTATGTTCTTTAAGCAAAATGTCGCTATGTTTAAATTCACCTTTAAAGGGTAAGTACAATATAACAAGAAACAAAGATCTATTAACATACAACACATAGTACGTGAGAAAACATGCACCATAAGGCAGAATCATGGCATGAGATTAGAGTGCTTGCTACTCTATACTGTTTCTTTTCTTGTGCTTGCTCTTGAGAAGTGCGCCATCATGGTGAGAACAGGCGCACTCGTGATTCAGCACCAAGGACAGGGCTATGCGATCCTGGCACCCCTTCCCAAACCACTGAACCCAACACTGATCATAGATCATTTATCTTCATCTGATCAGTGTAGACACGTAACCATGCACGTTAATGGGAACAAGATGGGAGAGTCCGTACCTTGTTGGCTGTAGAACAGCCCTGCGATGAGGAGGCGCGAGGCGAGGTGGATGAAAACAGCCATCTTTGCTGCAGAACAGGTCCGTTTTGCCGTGACGTCTCAATAACGGAGGAGGCGCTGTGGAATTACGGCAAGCCGACCGTGGATCCGAAACGGCGCGACGGATAACGGGAGAGACGTTTGTTAGATTTCCTCGTGTGGCGGCGTCGAGACGAGAGGAAGTAGTACAGCGGAAGGAGAGGGACGGGCACACAGCTGGTCTGACCTTGTTTATGGAGGGTGGTTTTATCTCCAGGGATGGAGTATTAATGGTTTGCGCTCGGGTTTGGCGTGAGAAAGTGTGCAGACAGTCGTCTGCAGACTTCAAGACACGGAATCACGCCCCCACGTCACTCCATATTCCGGCGTTATCAAAAAAGACCAGAGAACATCACGCAAATCTTGCATATGCCATCGCCGCTTTTTAAAGCACGCCAGGTGGCCACGATATCCAAATCACACAAAGATATCAGAAGCATTCCACAGTGAGAAGACTGCTGGCGGACGTACTTTAACGTCGTAATCAAACAACTCAAACGTTACCATTTACCCTCAGGCTGGACATCAAAGGGACTTTAGAAACCCTCCACCCCCGCCCCGATGTGAAACGGTTCTCCCCGTGTGCGGGGGCAGCGGAGTCTAGCCCTGACCGGAGGGTTATCAGGCGGGGAGGGCCTGGGAGGGACCGCGAGGCGAGGGGAGGTTCAGCCGGCTCGGCGCCGGCGCCAGGTTGATAAGTCGGTCCCGGCCGTCCTCGCCTCCCGGTAGAACGGGAGAAAAATGAGCGGGACGAACGTGGCAGAATAAATATGGCCGGGCGGGAGATTGATATTTGTGGAAGACCTTTTTTTTCATGCGGAAAATGTATTTATGTATAAAAGAAGCACACAGTAGGACTACGTGTTTTCGCGTCTCAACTTTTGGAATTTGTCATCCTCATTTGCCTTCATTATCGTTGAAAAATGTTTTCATATCAAAGCTTTTGTATGCGATAATGAAGGAAATACATGTATCTGGAATCCCAGACCGAAAATGCGCACCAGATATCTTGCACAATCGTTAAACGTTTGAAATTTAAAAAAAAATTCATATATTTTATTAGCGAAAATTAAAGAAGAAACCATATGGAATTTTTAAGTTGGGATGCTAGATAGTTATAACTGTTGATTTATCTACTTATTAACATTTTCCAATCCTGTATGGCGATATGTAAGACGGAAAACTACCAGCAGACCGGATGTACTCCAGAGGGTGTCACACACTGATGAATCAATAGATAAGTAATAACTAGTGCGTATCTTCCATCTCTTAAAGCTCAGGGCGATACTTCTATTTTAAGACTTTTATTAAGTTTATAACGAGACAGACATACTGTGATGTCGTCTCTTCTTCAACACGGGAGACTTACCAGAGGACACGTCGCTTATTAAGTATGCTTGATTGACGGAATTACATGCCGTCATAGCAACGCAGCTTGTTTTAGAAGTCAAACATAGTAGAAAGGAAAAGAATCGAAGTAAAGGTCGATTTCAATTGTTACGAAAATCTTAATTTCCTAAGATTCAGCAGAATAGAAGAAATGATTGGCTTATGATCTTTTTTTCCGGATTACCTACTATAGTCAAGATAAATTTTGTCTGTATTTAGTAACTGATGAAACACAACTCTGCTTCTTATTTGGCAAAATGTAAAACGTACCTACCATCTTGTATGTACATGCCAGAAAAACAGGAAAGGCCACCTAGCAGTTTACACCAAAACTGCAGCAGACGGAACAGCGCACTGAAGTCGTGCAGCCAATTACCCCGTTGATCGATCGTTCCTTCGGTCATTCTAAGGACGAAGCGGATGTTCGGATAGACCAGATAAAACCCTTCCTGTTACTTCATGATCATGAATAATGGACGTACGGACAGACATGTTTCATTCTCGGCCTATTTCTTCTCGGTCAGACCATATGAGGAGATGGAATGTAAGTGGTGAATTGAAATTATCTTTTATAACCAGTCGCGAAAATACAATCATACGTTCAAAATCAAAACGATTACAGTGATGGTGTTTCAACTTTTATAATGATTTATAGAAATAATGATGTGTAATAAAGAATCAAAAGGTTGAAAGTTTTGTCGTGTTTTTGTGATAAGACAGGCGTGTGGAGAGTTGTACATACACCAAGCGAGCCGGCTGGTAACATCCCCAGTCGTGCATCCGAAATGGCAGGTCATTACACGGTGAATTACACGGCACTAACCATAATAAGTACTTGTCCGGGTCAGGCTGGGCATTACTCTCTGTACTGCTATTTCCTACTCTTTAGTGTTATTTCCACATACATGCATAATCCACGTGTGGTCATTTTTCGCCGCGCTCAGAGACAAGGCCGAGGGAAAAAATGTTGTGTTTCTGATTTCAGTCCTGAAAAAAAAGTAGGATCGGTAGGTAGGAATTCTCTCTTTTTGTAGGTTTTGGCTGTGTTATCCAACAATAGAGTTAAAAATGTACAACTAATATGTATCAGGACCAGGGCTCTCGTATCTCCAGGACCCGTCCCTCCGTTTGCTTGTGGGAAAGGGGCAAATATTTCATCCTACTTATCACTCACTCACTCACTCACTCACTCACTCACTCACTCACTCACTCACTCACTCACTCACTCACTCACTCACTCACTCACTCACTCACTCACTCATTCACTTACTCATTCACTTACTCACTCACTCACTCACTCACTCACTCACTCACTCACTCACACACACTCTCTCTCTCTCTCTCTCTCTCTCTCTCTCCCATCCTACTTATACTTTCTCAATATTAATAAAAGTTTGCTTCAGCAAATAGTGAAATAGCATATCAGATTGTTAAAAATTTAGATTTCAGATAGTTCAACTTGCCAACGGTCGGTCGGTCGGAAACACAATATTTTATTCCCAGGCCTTATGTCCCTATATGGGACGGCGTATGGTTATGGCATATGATGGGACTACGGACGGCCTGCCATTACCGTGTGATGTAGGTCATTTCGTGGTACATACATGACAATTACATGCATCTCCTGTGACATCGTACGTCTTTCCCCCGACAGGGCGGATCGAACTCTGTACCGGTGACATTTCGTCGTGTCTGCATTTTTCATGTCTGTCGGTTCTTGGAGGACTGTCAATATCCTGGGTGAAAACGGTTTCTGTCAAAAACGTTAGGGTCGTTGCAAACATGGCTTAGGTAGTTAACAATTTGACATGTTATTTCTGTTTATTTGAGGGAAATGCTTCCCCATGTATGTTGGGGTGTCAGATTATATATTGATTAAATCATGAAATACAGATCATGATCGACATTTGATTATGTCTACTCAGTGACAGCTGATGACGCGAAGAGACAGCTATTTTACGCGTAGTTAGGTCGAAATTGTGCATAAAATGGCCCTGGCCGGGTGAACCATATGGTTGAGGGAGCTCGGCATTTCCAAATTAGCAAGTTTGCTTGTCATAGTTCCGGGGAACAAGGACACTACGACACCAACACCAATGCTGGTACCAATTGGGCCAGGGTAAGGGATCGGACATATATGCCGTAGTACGGTCGTACGTGCATTCTTGGGACTGTCGTCTATGTGTCTTGCAAAATTCAGCCGTCTTATTAGGGAAAACGTTTCCTTAGATCCTTAATGGTTCTGTCACAAGTTGACTGAACATTCTAGGGCCTCAAAATCGCACAACGAAGGTGACTGCGAGGCAAGAAAGCACCATGGCTGGGGTGAGATTCAGTCTGTGCTTGGTACTGGTCTCAGCTTGCTGTTTCTCCCTCCTGGGCGTCGGATCGTCCCGGGAACACGGGGAGAAGCACGTTCTGCTGGGGGGAGACCTCGTGCTGGGCGGACTGTTCCCGCTGCACGCCGCCTGGCCGAACGGGACGTGCGGACATGTGTCGGTACCCGGGATACAGGCTCTGGAGGCCATGCTGTTCGCTGTCGACAAGGTCAACAGGGAGAGTTCGCTTCTCCCAAGTAAGGCCCATTTCACATTTATTCTCTGATATATTACACATGTATGTACCATACACGTGTCGGTACCCGGGATACAGGCTCTGGAGGCCATGCTGTTCGCTATCGACAAGGTCAACAGGGCAAGTTCGCTTCTCCCAAGTAAGGCCCACTTCACATTTATTCTCTGATATATTACACATGTATGTACCATACACGTGTCGGTACCCGGGATACAGGCTCTGGAGGCCATGCTGTTCGCCGTCGACAAGGTCAATAGGGAGAGTTCGCTTCTCCCAAGTAAGGTCCCTTTTCACACTTATTCTGAACCAACAGGAGTCAAGCAGAACAAGACGGAATAAAGAATAGGAGAATAGTGTCACATTCGAGAAACCCTACTTATATTACCTTCACACTACAGCTGAAGTCGGAGTGAGCCGGAATGCCATTTGAATGAAAATTTCTTACATAGTCCTAAATATTCGAAATTTCAATTGCAAGCATTAAAAAAAAACGATATCTATAAATATATTTTTATTACATACTAGTATACTGAAGTACTCTGTCTACTTACATCCATCGCATCACATGCAAATATCCAAACATTCAAGCAATACAATTCGTGTTTATGGCATATGATAGAAAAAGTGTTCCACAGTGTAACTTTCCGTACAAACTGCTTGTATTTGTATCAAAATGTCAACTTTCATTAAATGTCTGAGTAAAGACCTACAGCTTGTTGAGTGGTATGTCAATTTGCATTATCCCGTACGTTTATAGACATCAGCCTAGGCGTGCATGTCCTGGACACGTGCATGGACCCGTCCCGGAGCGTACAGGCGGCCATGACGTTCGTGCACACGGCTGGAGGGACAGAGGACGCCATGTGTGCGGACGGGTCCGTGCCTCTCCACCGCAGGCACGCGCACAAACGCCCGGTCTGTGTCATCGGGCCCGCCAGCCGCCAGGAGGCGCTGCCGGTGGTCGCAGAGCTCCTGGGGTTCTTCAAGGTACACAAAATAACATGTTTTCAACCAATTGGAAAGAGTATGTATGCCATTCTATAGGCGATTAATTCAACACGAATGGCTTTATGTTGATGAACGCAACGGATGGAGTCAAATTGCCCGATCAAGCACTTTCTTGTTCAGTTTATTACAATAATCTAGATATTTTAGCCAGTCTCCGTCACAAATATTTACGTTGATAACTAATTTTTTTTAGCTTCGATAAGTCTGTTGTAGGCTATACTGATTTTCCTGTATTTCTCAAGGTGCCTCAGATATCCTTCTCAGCCGCGACGTCCGATCTCGTACCGGAGTTTGAGTACCTTTTCCAGTCGGCGCCGTCCGAGACAACCCAGGCCGCCATCTTGTCCGCCATCGTCCAGACGTTAGGCTGGAACTACGTGTCTCTGGTCGTTACTGACGGGAGGTACTACCAACAGAACGCACAGGCCTTTCAAGAGGAGGCTAAGAAATCTGGAAGAGGTAAAGGTTTTCTGATTTAAAGGCACAAGAAGAATGAAACATGGGTGAACTGAATGATAAAGTATGATTGATACTTGTACAAGGAGGCAGAAAATCGGTGTAGAAAGACTCCTCTGGACTTCACAAGAAAACTGTTACTCAAGCAATTGGATAGAGTTTAAAGTTTCAGACGTTTCAAGTAGCATCCACTACGAAATAGACAATGACAAAAAGTAGTGGATGCTACTTGGAACGTCTGATGACAGTTTTCCGAACCACCAGCCCATCCAGTTGCTTGAGAAAGTTTCTTGTGCATCATGGATGTCTAACCTTCACCGACGACTCTAGAGTTAATATTGTAGTTCATAAAGAATAGGAAAACAAACGAATTGCTACCTTTGTTTTCTTCACTTCCGCCAAGGTATTTGCATCGCAAGTCAACTGAGGATACCACACGATGCTGACTCAGCTGACATAGACCGGGTGGTACAGCAGCTCCTGCGGTACCCACGCGCAGTGGGAGTGGTGGTGTTCACTACAGCCCGACAGGCCAGCAGTCTTCTGGCAGCCGCGAAAAGGTGGGCGCCATGATGTTCCAAGGTACCACAGTCTGCCGTTCAGTCTGGAAGTATTGTTTTGGGTGGGCTTGTCTGTTGTCGGTTTGTGTGTATGGTTGTCTGAACACAAAGTAGGTTTGCAGCACATGGATAGAAGGAAGAATTACAGGAGATCAAAATGTCAGACACAGGAAATGGGGTGAACTAACTTGAAGGTTCAGAATCTGGCCGGGAGCCAGCAGATATTAGAGGTTGACACGCGGGAATTCGGGAGCCGAGGATTGTATGAGTGACCATCCAACCCTGCACAGTTAATTTCTGTCCTAGCCCTGATTATTTATATGTCGGTAGATATGTTTGTTTCTTTCTTTGTCAAACTCACAGTTGTTTTGGTGCAGGCTGGGCGCTGCGGGACGGTTTGTGTGGCTTGGCGGAGAGACGTGGCACAGTAAGGACGTCCTGAGGTCCAGCCGCGGCGAGAGCGTCATCACTCTGGCTCATGATCATGATCAAGACTCGGCTATGCTGAAAGGTGAAGTACTAGTACTTGGTCCAATCAATAGGTTGTGCTTATAAACCTGTTTTCCCCTCTGGTCTCTCAGTCACTGACGAAAGCTAGTGGATACTAGCTGAAACGTCTGACGTTTTCAAAATCATATCCAGTTGCTTGAGTAACTGTTTTTTGGCGTACTAGTACTTGGTCATTGATACTGTCCTAGCTCGCGTCATGATGTCGTGAAAATGGTAGAGAACGCATTAATTCTGTCGTAAACGCCATGTTAAAGGCTACTCGGGGAAGTGTACTAGTATATCTAAACCAAGAATAACGTCCTTGTCTAAACTAAAAGTATATACAATAACAGTACGAATCGACTGCACAGTACCCAAAGTTGAGAAGGTAAGAATTAGATTCAGAATTATTTTCCTAAGTTGCTGCAAGAAGCACATTACATTTTCACTTCAAACGTATTGCACTGTAGGATAAATATACCTTGTAATGTCTTCTGTATATGGATTTAGTTTTGTAGCGGTTGTTTTCTGTTTCAAACCGCAGAGTTTGCAGAGTATTTCTCCAAACTAAGACCCCACAACAACAGGAGGAACCCGTGGTTCGGGGAGTACTGGGAGCATCACATCCAGTGCGTTTCCGAGTCACTCTCGCAAGGGGGCGCAGGTGATCCATGCGTTTGTACAGGTAAAATGCTCAATTGCAATGTAAAGTTTCGACTGCCATTTCCTAAGTTTGATTTTAACACATCCATGCAGGTGTGTGGTGTAAAACTGATTGTAATCTATTTGTGTATACTACTATATTAGTGCATACTATTTCTACCCAGATGTATACTGGACTATGTATCTAATTTGTATATGCCCAGATGTATACGGGACTTTGTGTCTCATTAGAGACACAGATATGAGTGATATATTCCTTTGATACCTCCGTACCAGGGGAAGAGGACGTCACCGTCTCCCAGCACGAGTGGGTCCGCGGGGTTCTAGCGGCGGTCAGGGCGGTGGCCAGGGCGGCACACGACATGCAGCAGGCCGTGTGTCCCCGCAGTGGCCGCCGGCCGTGCGACGTGAAGCTCCGGCAGGATACAGACATTCTGACCAAGTTCATCGCCAACGTTACCTCTGGAGGTACGCGGACGTATGTCACAATTGTATGGAAGTGTGTTGCGTTGAACTAGTAGTGTTTAAATCATTTGTATAAACTTGAATTCCATGGCATTTCATGTGTCACAAATAATTGATAAATTCAAAATAAATGCAGATTTTCTAAGCTCGACGGCAGATACATTGACATTTGTACCCAAACCCGTGCCTGTCTAGTTCTATGTCTGATTGTGTTGGTGTTAGAGTTATTCTGGATAGTCTCTATGGTGAGAATAACTATATTGTTCCTATCCACAGTGGACAGTCGCGATGAGGTTAGCTTTGACTCCACCCGGAGGGTTCCGGGACGATACAGCGTCTTTTCCGTCCACAACCAAGACGGAGACGCCCGCTTTCACACCGTGGGCCAGTGGGACGGCTTCTCTTCTCACCCTCTCAGCCTAAACCCACAGGACATCCAATGGCCAGGGGACGCCGAGGAGAAGAAGAACGCCACTTCTTCCCCGGATGATGAAGAAGAAGAAGAAGTGATGTTACGGGAAGGCGGAATCCCCAGGTCGGTGTGTAGCGACCCCTGCCCCGCTGGCCACAGGAAGGTGTCCCAGACGGGTGACGCCTGCTGTTGGCTGTGTGTGCGGTGTGCCCCGGGGGAGTATCTGAAGGACGACGTCACGTGTGAGCACTGTCCCGAGGGACAACGGGCCAATCAAGACCTCTCAGCCTGTGAACCGACCAATGAGAGCGAAGATGTCGATGACGTAGATAGCTGAAGCGATGTAATTGGAGCACGTCAGCAGGACGTACTGCGCCTGCGCGAAACCCTGACTTTTCATGGTTTTTGTTAAATGTTTGGTAAACGTTGTATCAGAATTTTGCCTGTTGCATGCGCAGATGATATCTTTTCCGACATAACATTTGAAAACTACAGTTGGGATGTTTTAACAATATATGCGCGAATACGATATTATACTAGTATGAGAAGTTCTGCCGAAGCGCTATGCGCTATGTCTGACCACAAAAGCTACAAAAGACAAGAAACAAACAACAAAAAAAAAAATGTTGAAAAGAAAACTAATCATGATTACTATCTGGGAATATTGATATGAATTGTTCATTTTACGCGAACTGCCCGTCCAGGCCCCGGATTGGTCACCTGTATTGTGACCTAAGCATTTGTAAGATTTTGCTTGTAACATTATCATCGTTATGCACATTAAATACACACAAATCAGACAAGTCAGAACCATGACTATGTCTGTTTGTTACAGAACCATGGCTTAGCTTCGTCTGTTTGTTACAGAACCGCTCCGTCTGTTTGTTACAGAACCGCTCCGTCTGTTTGTTTCAGAACCGCTCCGTCTGTTTGTTACAGAACCATGGCTTCGTCTGTTTGTTACAGAACCATGGCTACATCTGTTTGTATTCATAAAAGCTAACAAACATCACAAATCACTTTTATGAAATTCAAATCATTCAAAGGCTTCCTTATAAATCAGTAATGATAACTAAATGGTCCATCGGCATACCCTAAAGATTCATATTAAGTAAGTATTAGGTACGAATTGCCCTTTTGAAGTATACCAGTGTGCTGTGAGCGATTCATTAGAGACATGAAAAGAAGACCTTGTCGAGAGCCTTGCCGTTAACACCCTGCGGTAAAAACGTATGTATGACGCGGAGGCTTGTTTCACAAGGTCATTGGTTCTTCGTGCAGAAGACCGCCAATTAAAATCCAGTTGCAAATCTAAAGGTTAGACCCTACCTGTTACTTCTAGCCCGGAATTATTATCCAAACTGGACCACAATTTTAGAAAAAAGGATTTTCAACATACATTAACAAGCATAGGGACTAAATTGTGTTCCGGTTTTGGGCCCTCACCAATGCAATGGCCCTGAAATAAAATGGCCCTTAACAAGATCTATTATACGCCAGCCCTTATTAACAAGAGTCGACGTAGGCCACAGTTACATTACGGTTGAGTCTACGTATGTCACATTTACTTTACGTTAGGACAGGATTGTTAGCACTAACATCTAGTTTCAGTGTTAAGTGAACCAGCAACACCCAGAGGAGCTGAGCAACACCTAGATTCAGTGACAGAGAACAACTCATAATTGCCCTGACGGTCAAGGAAACGTCGGCTCTAACAGTTGTGAATAAAGAGCTTTGCTATTCAACGACAAAGCACTCAGATTACAAATATTATCATCATCTAAAAGTGCGAAAATCAGTCATCACGTGTGACTACTTCAAAGATTCATACGTATTAGACATTCATTGCCCTTTTGAAGTATAGCAGCGTAGGTGTCGCAATACAATCGAGATACATATAATAAGACGATCTAGTCAAGACCAGTTTGTGCCGGTTTTAAAGCCCTGCAGTAATGTTTAGCGTCGATAATGCTTGTTTTTCAAGCTCATTAGTTCTTCGTGCATAGGACGACCAATCAGAACCCGTGACGACGTCCGAGCCATATATGGCGTCGTGTGTGCACTGTGATTGTGTGATTGACAGGTCAGTTGATCGGCCTTTAAATTAGTCAGAGAAAAAGCCCGAACATCGCAGTTCTGATTGACTCGTTGCGGGCTGAATTCGGAACCGTGTCGTACTGAGAGAACACCGCACCGCGACAAGAGACTTTCACTCAACAACAGCACTCGCCTCAGAGCTGCCCGTACAGTACTCTAGCGGTTCTCTTGCATCTTCTAAAGCACTCCGCCACCATGAGTATCTTCGACTTTACGACGGAAGACTGGGCCTTTGACTTGACGACGGAAGACTGGGCCGATGACTTGGCGACGGAAGACTGGGGATGTGCGGACGGCACGGACGATCTCCAGACGCTGCCGCTGTGTGAAGACATCCTCGCTGCCATGAGTAACTACACTTTCGGCGACTACAACTGGAGCAGTTGGAACTGGACGGACGACGTTCTGTCGACGCCGCAGCTGGACACGGACCCAATCACCGAAATCGCAGGCCCCATACTGTACGGGACGGTGGCGGTGGTGGGTTTCCTCGGGAACCTGCTGGTGATCTACACGCTGCTGGGACACACGAAGATGAAGGACGCTACGTACTACTACATCCTGAACCTGGCGCTGGCCGACGCGCTCTTCATGCTGGGGATCCCCTTCATCTCCGCCTCCTCGGCCATGAAGCGGTGGGTGTTCGGCAGGGCCGCGTGTAAGATCGTCCTGTCCATGGACGCCATGAACATGTTCACCACGGTGTTCAACCTGGCCGTGCTGAGCGTGGACCGCTACCTGGCCACCGTCCGCGCCAACACGCACTCCCACTGGCGCCGCCCGAAGGTCGCCACCGCCGTCTGCCTGGGCGTGTGGCTCGCGGCCGTCCTGCTCAGCATCCCCGTCATGGTCGTCAGCGATACCCTCCCGCTGGGGAACGGGAACTACATGTGCATGCTGGACTGGCCTGAGGACAGTTTCACGTTCTGGTTCCAGGCCTTCACGTCGTACACCTTCACCATGGGGTTCGTGGTCCCCCTGTTGGTCATCAGCGGGTCGTACGCGTCGGTGGTCCGTCACCTCCGCCGCAACACGCCGGCAAACGCCGCGGTGGCACGCATCGCCGTCAACATGCGGAACAAGGTGACCAAGACCGTGACAGCCCTGGTGGTGACGTTCGTGGTGTGCTGGCTGCCGTTCCACGTCTGCCAGCTGCTGAACCTGAGCACGGACCTGCCGCAGAAGCCGACCATGGCAGCGTTCCACATCGCCATGATCCTGTCGTACGCCAACTCCTGCGCCAACCCCGTCCTCTACGTGTTCACCAGCCAGAAGTTTCGCGACAGCTGCCGGGCCGCGCTGTGTCTGAACCGGGACGACGCCGCCGACAGACAGCGGGCCGACCGCGAGAGAGACGCGCGCGTCGCCGCGACAAGAAGGCGCCAGCCGCAGGAAGACGTATTCTTCGAGGAAGAGAGATGTGAGGTAAACCGTGCAACTGTTCCACATGTGGCTACTGCCATGATCGAAACAACGGTCTAGGACATTGGAAAGAAATCAGATTGATAGAGATGTGCTTTGTCTGAAAGTCAGACTGAGTGCATTATTGTACCATCCACTTCATTACAATGTCACAATTTCTCTTTGAACAGTCAGATCATTTATAGACTAAGAAAGAGGATACAATTTGTAACATCAGAAGATATATACATGTATGCATATTCTAGTTTATCAATGTGTACGAGGATGCCTGGGCATTTAAAAATGTAAAAAAATAGTATATTAGCCATTTTTGTTCTAATGTTTCTTGTTGTTAATGATGTATATTGAAAGTATTTGCAGGGTCAGTTGTTGGAATTGTGTACGGAACTTTGTAATGCATTTGAGATATTGACTTTGTGATGAAAAAAGAAGAAAATGGTCATTTACAGATGTAAAAAAATAACATTTGATATTTTCAAAACACTTATTCTGTTGTTTCTTGTTGTTAATGATGTATATTGAAAGTATTTGTAGGGTCAGTTGCTGGAATTGTGTACGGAACTTTGTAAATGCATTTGAGATATTGACTTTGTGATGTAAAAAGAGGAAAATGGTCATTTACAGATATAAAAAAATAACATATTTGCCATTTTGGTGTTTCTTGTTGTTAATGATGTATATTGAAAGTATTTGCAGGGTCAGTTGTTGGAATTGTGTACGGAACTTTGTAAATGCATTTGAGATATTGACTTTGTGATGTAAAAAGAGGAAAATGGTCATTTACAGATATAAAAAAATAACATATTTGCCATTTTGGTGTTTCTTGTTGTTAATGATGTATATTGAAAGTATTTGCAGGGTCAGTTGTTGGAATTGTGTAAGGAACTTTGTAATGCATTTGAGATATTGAGTTTGTGATGTAAAAAAGAAGAAAATGTTCATTTACGGATATAAAAAGTAGCATATATGTGCCATATTTAAAACACTTATTCTGGTGTTTCTTGTTGTTAATGATGTATATTGAAAGTATTTGCAGGGTCAGTTGTTGGAATTGTGTACGGAACTTTGTAATGCATTTGAGATATTGACTTTGTGATGGAAAAAGAGGAAAATAAAAATGTTAAATGTCAGATGCCAACGCTTATGTTGTTTGTTGAAGCTGAATATACATAGTTCTAGTTCTGTCACTTCAAAACGTATTTTTATTGTCCATACATTAAGGAAGATGGTACAGCACAAAGTGGTAGCGCACTCAAGTTTATTTCAACGCTACCACTTACACATAATGAGATAAAAAAAAATTAACAAAAAAAAAAACGGCATAAAGACATAAAGGGTTAATTCGTTAAAAGAATACTGACTGCAAATGTGCCTAGCCCTAGGCCTGTGAGAAACTCGTTGCCAGTCAGAGCAACACAAAAATTTCATAGCCAAGCTCATAATATAAAGTTGTCGCCAGCTTTAGGAAAACCCACTATAGCTTTGGTAGTTCTGCTGATCTAGCTCAAACCGTTCAGACGTTATCCGATATGAAAGTTGACACGAGCGACAAAAGTGGGTCCGGCCGCCGGTCTAAAGTTAACCTGATTAAATCGCGCTCTCGGCGATACCGGTCCCCTGAGATGCCAATTAGCAACCATTGACAGCGGGAGATCGTATGATACGGACAGTCTGTACGTGGCTGGTGGGAAATGGTAGAAGACGGAAATGGACTTAATGATGTGACAGAAGAGTATGGTTGCAAGTGTACTCTTATGACCGGCTAACTCCTCTGCTTTATTATTTAGCTTAGTCTATCTGGCCAAGGACATCTGTGTATAATGTCCTTAATCTGGCCAATTTCTACTCCTTTTTTTTCCAAACTCGGCCGAAAATGTCTATTAGCGCTCGGCGGGCGAGCTATTAATCTAGAATTGCCATGACGTCACACAAGTCTGCACCGCAAGCTACGCTCGACTACAAAGGCTGGATCAAAGAAAAACCACGCGAGAAGAACCGAAAAACTCCAGGAGGCAAGAAAGGTATCTTCTGTTCGTTTCGCAACATGGCACAGGGACGCTTGTTATATAAACGTAACATAGAGTTCGAAAAGACTGGGGTCAGCTTCCAAAAGTAACATGAAGAACGCAAATCAATCCTAATTTGTCAGGTTGTATCCTTGAGTCCTCAGTCATCTCAAAACGTATTGTACGAGGGGTGTTCAAAAAGTTCTCGGCCTCACCTAGAAAATAAAGGTCAAACTCCTATTCTTTGATATAGCTGTATACTATGACGTCTTACATCACTGAACACAAAAATTCAAATTTTTATATTCATTAATAAGCACGTGATGCCCCGTGAAACTGGGGCGGGTGAGGGAAAATCACAAAATGGCCGCAACAGACGCGTGAGCACTGATCAAGTGTATCGATAAAAAAGGATGTCTCCTAAGGACATCCATAAACACATGGTCAAGACACTTGGTAATGACTCCCCTTCTTATTCAACTATAAAGAAGTGGGTTACTAGCTATAAGCGCGGCAAGGAGAGCACAAAAGATGAACATATGTCAGGATGCCACAAATCAGCACCACGGACAATCCAGTTGAGGCCATCCCCCACATGGTAGTGAATGACAGATTTGAGACTGTCCAACATGTAGCATGTTCTTTGCCCTGTGTTATGACTCAGTTCACAATGTTTTGTCGAACATCCTGGGGATGAAAAAACTGTCTGCATGGTGGGTGCCTCTAATGTTTTTTGAACATCAGAAGTTAAACAGGCTGGACATTTCAAGGAACGAATTCAGTCCAATCCATGCAATTTCCTCAAAGATTTGTAACCCAAGAAGAGCTGGATTCACCACTTTCAGCCCGAATCAAAACAGCAGAGCAAACAATGGATGAAGAATTTTTCCCGCCCCCAAAAGAAGTTTTAGCGACTTTCGTCCGTTGACAGGGTTTTTGCCTCTGTTTCCTGGGACAGTAAGGAAGTAATCATAATTGACTACATGCGAAGAGGTTAAAGCATCAATGGGGAGTACTATTCAACAGAATTGCGACAGTTGAGTACAACAGTCAAAGAGAAAAGGAGAGGAAAGCTCCGAGCTGACGTGATGAAAATGCACCTGTCCTCACAGCACAGGGGTCAGTGGCAGCAGCAAACGAATTTGGCTTTGAAGTCTAACCCCACCCTTCCAATTCACCTGAACTAGCACCCTTGGACTTCTACCTGTTTCCTAAACTCAAGTTCCACTTATGTGGTTAACGTTTTGATGGTAATGATGACGTCATCTATGCGGTATAGGCCAGTCTGGGGGGTCCAGATGCAACCTTCTTCCACAATGGGAAAATAAAGCTGGAACATCACTGGACCAAGTGCATTGCAGTTAGAGAGGACTATATTAAAAAATAGTGTAAGAAAAATTTTACTGCCCTGACGTTTTCTAGGTGAGGCCGAGAACTTTTTGAACACCCCTCGTACAAGATAACCTTTCTAACACCCTTGATGCCAATTAACCACTGACAGTGAGAGATCGTATAACGCAGGCAGTCTGTATTGGTGGTAGGTGTGAAATAGTACGAGTAGTAGACCGAAATATGGAAAAGAGTTAGCCGGCCATATGGTTTTCTTTTTTGTACGAGTATCTTTTTAATTAATTTCGCCAACCAAATAGTACTAGTTGATGCTTTGCCAGTTGATACTTTCTTGCCAATTTGATACTGCCTTACAGCAAGATCTGCTTGTATCCGGCCGAGAATGCCCTTTAGCGCTCACCGACTCTTCAGGTGGGCTATATCCTCGACTTGCGCAGGACGACGCACACGTACACACGGCACCACAAGCTGCGCCCGACTACAAAGCTGATGATTCTGACGGATCAAAGGAAAACCACGAAAAATAACTGCAACAATCCGGTAGGCAAAGGCACTCCTTGCTTTCAACAACGTGATACCCAAACGTACATAGAAATCGAGCAAACTGGGTTATCTCCAAGAAGAAAGATACAGGACAATTTTTACCGTAGTGAAAATTAGCCGGGTAGATTGAATGATTTGCTAGAGGAGTTAGCTAGCCCCATAAACGGAATAAATTTTAACTGTTATCTATGCCTGTTTTGGTGGATTTTTCTTTTCAGTTCGACGGAGAGGTGGTCTGGTAGTAAAAAGACGCCTCCATATTATTGCAGGTGACGGAAACTCGCTGGAAACTAGTGCCACCCACGCACAGACCCCTACAGAACGGTAATCTAATAAACAGATGTTCCTGACATGAAAGAATCGCACTCGACATGGTTGCCACGCGCGCAAATCAGCCAGCAGAATGGTTAATTTGTGCTCACCAGGCCTTCCTGTGAATTCCGCGAAAAAAGGAAATTATCGGCCCGGTCAGACAGTGAAACATGGCGTAGCTGGTACATCCGTGCGGCAGCAAGACTCCACGAGTCGTGACAAACTACCGTATTGAATATACACCGATAAAGTTTGGCGCATGCATTTTGTAGTCTTTGTTTCCAACAGTATGTTCTTGACTCCATATCAGTGGCTGTTTGCCAAAAGCATGGCTGGTCATGAAGAGGCTATGGATGGATTATCCGTCCTATTTATGGTAGATACACTTTTTGTCAAGAAGAGAGAGGAAGTCGAAAGTACTTGAGTATTCTAGACGTTTAAATTTACTTGTCACTTTGTTAACATGTTACCTGTGCTTAGCCCATTGGGGCAAAATGTTCAATAAAGGTTTTTATTATTATCCTCCACCAGGCCTTGCTATGAAATACGCAAAAAAAGGAAAATAATGGGCCAGGAGAGTCAGTCCTTGAGCAAATTAACCCCACCATGGCCAATTTTTATCCGTATTATCCGTGATGTGCCGTGAGGCACTTTGTCCCGTATCATGTAGATGTAGATTATCGATATCCGTATTTGACTGTTTTTGAACCCTCCGTGTTAGTCTGGTGGAAAAAAAGTGATTTACATCATCAACACTGCGGACTCGAGTAAAACAACGAACAACGTTGATATTTCAACATCATGGTAATAACACGATGTTCAAGTCACTCCGCTTGGATGTTGATTCTGAGGAACATTAACCTTCTCCTTGCTGATTAACCCTGTACCCAATACAAATCTGGTGCCAAATGGCTACCTCAGCGTGCTAAAGGTTAAACAAGACGTAGGTGGTATAATCTGCCTCGACTCCACGAGTCGTGACAAGCTACCGTATTGAATATACACCGATAAAGTTTGACGCATGCATTTTGGAGTCTTTGTTTCCAACAGTATATGTTCTTGACTCCATAGCAGTGTTTGCCAGAAGCATGGCTGGTCATGAAGAGGCTATGGATGGATTATCCGTCCTATTTATGGTAGATACACTTTTTGTCAAGAAGAGAGAGGAAGTCGAAAGTACTTGAGTATTCCAGACGTTTAAATTTGCTTGTCACTTTGTGAACATGTTACCTGTGCTTAGCCCATTGGGGCAACATGTTCAATAAAGGTCTTCATTATTATATTATCCTCCACCAGGCCTTGCTATGAAATCCGCAAAAAAGGAAAATAATGGGCCAGGAGAGTCAGTCCTTGAGCAAATTAACCCCACCCTGGCCAATTTTTATCCGTATTATCGATATCCGTATTTGACTGTTTTTGAACCCGCCTTGTTAGACGTCTGGTGGGAAAAAAGTGATTTACATCATCAACACTGCGGACTCCAGTAAAACAACGAACAACGTTGATATTTCACCATCATGGTAATAACACGATGTTCAAGTCACTCCGCTTGGATGTTGATTCTGAGGAACATTAACCTTCTCCTTGCTGATTAACCCTGTAACCAATACAAATTTGGTGCCAAATGGCTAGTTCAGCGTGCTAAAGGTTAAACAAGGCGTACGTAGGTGGTAAATCTGTCGCCAGCTGCAGACTCCATGAGTCGTGACAAGCCCCCGTACTGAGTAGACTCTGAGTTTGACGCATGGATTTGTAGTCATTGTTTCCAACATGTTCTTGACTCGATGGCAGTGTTTGTTTGCCAAAAGCACTGCAGATCATAAAGAGACTATGGATGGATTATCCGTCCTCTTATGGTAGATTTACTTTTTGTCAGTGTTCTGCAATATTGCAGAATGTAAACATTTTGCTCTGCAATTCGGAAATACTACAGTTCGTTAAAAGGAGGACAATTGCTGGCATAATTGTAACCGGGAGTACAGCAATTTTCGTATAGTCAAATACAAACTACGAAATGGAAAAATAAATCTTAAGTCGATGAAGGTTAGACATCCGGGTAATGAGATACACAAGGAAATAGTGAGCAACTGGATAGATTTTAAAAATTGTCCGACGTTTCAAGCAGCATCCACACAATTTTTGTGTTACCATGGTAGTCTCTATGTTTGAAAATGGAGCCATTTTTTGTTCATTCTGTTGTAGTTGTTGTTGTTGTGTCACGCTCTCCCGTTAGATTTGGCTTGATCGTATACTTGAAGATTTTTATGACGTCAATACCCACGTGGTTCTGTCATTCACACAACAGGAGTTCCAACCAAACCATTAGCCCTATATTCAAAAGTAAAGAGAACATTGTTACCGTACCTCCGTCAATTGTGCTGTATTTCTATTATGCGTCGATGAAGGGTTAGACATCCAATTAATCAGATACACATTCAAGAAAACGGTGTGAGTGCTACTAGTACTTGACTCGTCTGGCAGTTTTCAAAATCTACCCAGTTGTTATACAGTTTTCTTTGTATTTCTATTGTGATTTGTTCTGGTGCGTGTTGTACAATGTATATATTGATGTTATAGCTGTCTAACTGACGTTAGGATAACGCCAACACACCTCGAGTTTGGACGATAAAAAATGTCAACCTCCATATATGATGTACCTAACACATGTCAATCATAAAACAACGAAGTTACTGATGAAAGTTGGCCTAAAAGGAGGAATAATTTCTCGGAGGATTGGCTCAGTGGCCAAAGACGTGCAAGTTGGCCTGTCGAGTTACTCTCCAAGCAGAGGTTTTGGCTGATTTCAGGCTTTCCTTTTCGCACTGCTTCTTTTACGTTGGGTTGGCGTAAAAAAAAAACAGTGCAAAAAAGAAAGCCTGATAAAACATGCCCGTAGCCAGGG